GGGCGGAGCCAAGATGGCAGAGTGAAAGTAGTGACTTGAGCTCTCCCATAAACCCCTCCAAATACCTATAAAAAATGGCTCTAAACAAATTCTAAAGCAGCAGAACCCACTAAAAGACAGAGTGAAACAAATTTCCAGCCCAAGACAACCTGGATGGTTGATTGGAAAGGTGTATCGAGCTTGGCTGTGAGAGGAGTGCAGGGTGGCATGGACGCACAGGCCGCAGTGAATCTGGAGCAGGCCTCAGAGGACTGAATCGTTGGCAGCTGTGGCAGTTTCCAGACTTCTCAACCAAAGAACACCAGGGACAACCTAGAATGTCAGTGGGAAAAGTCTGTTTCTAAGCTGCTGAGAGAGGAGCACGGGGTCTCAGCTCCATTCCCCAAGTGTGGCCCAGGGCAGCGGCTGCCTCCTGAACTTCTGGCCCACAGACTGAAGGGGAATCCAATAGCTGATCAGAGGGGGATTGCAGGGATCTCTCTACTGGTGCAGGATTCTCTTGCTTTGCCCATGCGTGGATCTGGGTCACAGTTTTGGGTAGTGGTCCTGGGGTGACGAGCAGTGCTGGCGTGGTAGAGCTTGTAGTGGCTGTGGAGAGAAAATCCTCCTCACAGTTCCAAGGCAGAAAAGAGTGCTTGTGGTCACTTGTAGACCAGAGCACAGGCCAGGAAAGGAGTAAACACCTCGCCCTTGATCATAGCACCTTGGAAGAACTGAAAATTTATAGGTCCCTAGAAGTATCTCTGGAAGCAGCTGCACAAAACCCCCGAAGCTTGGGACAGTACATTCTCCACACTGGAAACAGACTCCTACCTTAACCAAGAGCTTATAACTCTAACAATAAGGCAGGATCATGAGTAAACAGCGCAAAAAGAGTCAGACTATATTATCTTATTTTGGTGACAAAGATCAAAACACACAACCAGAAGAAAACAATGAAGCCAAAGCTCCTACATCCAAACCCTCCAAGAAAAATATGAATTGATTCCAGGCCATGGAAGAGCTCAAAAAGGATTTTGAGAAGCAAGAGAAGTAGAGGAAAAACTGAGAGTGATGCTAAAGGAGACCCAAAAAAATACTGAAGAAAATAACACCTTAAAGAATAGCCTAACCCAAATGGCAAAAGAGGTCCAAAAAGCCAATGAGGAGAAGAATGCCCTAAAAAGCAGAATTGGCCAAATGGAATAGGAACTCCAAAAGATTACTGAAGAAAATACTTCATTAAAAATTTGAATAGAGCAATTGGAAGCTAGTGACTTTATGAGAAATCAAGACACTATAAAACAAATCCAAAAGAATGAAAAATTAGAAAACAATGTGAAATATCTCACTGGAAAAACAACTGACCTGGAAAATAGATCCAGGAGAGAGAATTTAAAAATTATTGGACTATCTGAAAGCCATGATCAAAAAAAGAGCCTAGACATCATCTTTCAAGAAATTATCAAGGAAAACTGCCCAGATATTCTAGAACCAGAGGGCAAAATAGAAATTGAAAGAATCCACTGATCAAGTCCTGAAAGAGATCCCCAAAGGAAAACTCCTAGGAATATTGTAGCCAAATTCCAGAGTTCCCAGGTCAAGGAGAAAATATTACAAGCAGCCAGAAAGAAACAATTCAAGTATTGTGGAAACACAATCAGGATAACACAAGATTTAGCAGCTTCTACATTAAGGGACCTGAGGGTATGGAATATAATATTCTGGAGGGCAAAGGAGACAGGATTACAACCAAGAATTAACTACCCAGCAAAACTGAGTATAATCCTCCAAAGCAAAAAAATGGTCATTCTGTGAAATAGAGGACTTTCAAGCATTCTTGATGGAAAGACCAGAACTGAGTAGAAAACTTGATTTTCAAATACAAGACTCAAGTGGAACATGAAGAGGTAACAGGAAAGAGAAATCACAAGAGACTTATTAAGGTTGAACTGTTTATATTCCTGCTTGGAAAGATGATATTTATAACTCTTGAGACCTTTGTCAGCATTAGGGTAGTTGGAGGGAAAAAATTATATGTATGTATAGATATATTTAGATAGATAGAGGGCACAGGGTGAGTTGAAGATGAAGGGGTCATCTGGAGTATAAAAATGATAGGTGAGAGATGATTATACTGGGAGAAGGAGAGAGGTAGAACAGGGTAAATTATCTTACAAAAAAAAAAAGAAAAGGCTCTTACAGTGGAGGGGAAACAGGGGAAGGTGAGAGGGAATGAGTGAATCTTATTGTCATAGGATTTGGCTTAAAGAGGGAATAACATACATACTCAATTGGGTATGGAAAGATGTCTTACCCTACAGAAAAATAAGGGGAGAAGGGGACAAGAGAGCAGGGGAATGATAGAGAGGAGGGCAGAGTGGGAAAGGGGGTAATCAGAAACAAACTTCTGAGGAGGGACAAGATCAAAAGGAATAGAATAAATTGAAGGGCAGGATAGGATTAAGGGAAATAGAGTTAGTTTTCCACAACATGACTACTATGGAAGTGTTTTGCATAGATGTACATGTATAACCTATACTGAGTTGCTTGCCTTTTCAATGAGAGTGGGTGGGGAGGGAGGAAGGGAGAAAATTTGGAACCGAAAGTTTTAAAAACACATATTTTTTAAAAAAATGTTTTCACATGCAACTGGGAAATAAGAAATACAAGAAATGGGGTACAGAAATCTATCCTGCCCTACTGGAAAGCAGAAGGGGAAGGGGATAAAAGAAGGGGGGGGAGAGAAAGAAGGGAGGGCAGACTAGGGGAAAGGATATTCAGAATGCACGCCATCTTGGGGTGGGGGGAGGGGTGAGATGGGGTGAAAATTTGGAACTCAAAATCTTGTGGAAGTAAATGTTGAAAAGTAAATAATTTTTAAAAAAAGTCAGAATTGGACAAGTGGAAGCTAATGACTCCATGAGACATCAAGAATCAGTCAAACAAAATCAAAAGAATGAAAAAAAAAAAGAAAATGTAAAATAATTCACTGGAAAAACAACTGACCTAGAAAAACATCCACTACTTCATGGTTGAGGGGGGAGGTCAGCTGAGGAAAGAGGGTAGGTCATGAGTTTTGAGCCCCCTCTAGCAAAAAGAACTCAGGTTCCCAGTTGGGCTGGGCCTAGACCAACCTACTTAATGGGTAGATATGCCTTGAGAAAACACTTAATACAATGACATTCTTTAGCTAGAGTTGGCCAAAGTCTTCTCTTTAAGCTAGTGCAAGAGATGGCCAGAGTAAAAAATGATTAAACAAATTCTAGAGCAGCAGAACCCACAAAAAGAGTGAAACAAATTTCCAGCCCAAGACAATCTTGGATGTCCATGGGAAAGGTCTGTTGTGCTAGGCTGGGAGAGGAGCACAGTTCAGCTTGGGCCTCAAAGAAAACACATAAAAGAACCTATCCATGGAACCAAAGTACAATTAGGATTCTTCTTTCCAGCTGTTTTTTTAGTTAAGTTAAAATAGGATTTCATAAACATTGAGAATGAGAAAGAAGAAACGAGGCTTCACAATGACTCCTTAATTAAAGCGGTGTTTCCTAAATTGTTGTACTTAGGGGTTGGTTGCATATGGCCTGGAGCCTGATGGGATACTGTGGTATCCTTTTTTTCTGTTGTAACTAGAACACTATTTAGATACTAAATCTAGATACTAATTAGATGTGAAATTTTACTAGGATACGATTTAGATACTAAATTTAGGAGGACACTATTTTGATGCTAAAAGGCTTATGGGATACTTCTGTATCCCATGACAATATATATAGATATATATATATATCTATATATATATATATATATATATATATATGTACTTTTCCACAAATTTGGCTGGTTTCATTAAGCAAGAGTATTTTTTAAATAATCTTGGAAAATATTAGTAATTTTAAAAATTCAGACAACATAAAATTGTTTGACATTTGACAGTTCCTAAATATATTCTCTCATTAGGATATGTGTGTTATGTGCACTAACATATATATTTTTTGAAAGATTTAACCACATTGGTATCGCCCAGAGTGCTAATTTATACAACTAGAAAATCAATTTTCCACAATTTAAATCCAAGCTTTATGGCCTAATTTATTTGAGTTATTACTCGTGGTTCTTGCTTCTTGTACATGGTCCCTCCTCCTTCAGGCATCACTCAGTTTACCTGAGTTAAAGGGCTGTCCCTTTATAATTTAACACCCTGGATCCTTTTCTCACATGACACAATGAAGACTGCCAAGGCCACTCCAGCAATTGCTGGGCCTCAGTATCATACTTCATGTTAACACAACCCCTTTAAAAAGGTGAGATGAGTCTACAATCTGCCAAAGCCCACGTCTGCTGAGGAATCTTGGTATGAATGTTTTTATCTTCTCCTCTCTTGACCTTTGCCATTGATCATTTCCTGTTGTGTCTTGTGGTTTTAAAAAAATGAAGCAAATCATGTCATTAGCTATCTTTTTTTTTTTAAGTAATTGAATTCCTAGTAATCTAGAAATGAAAATATGTTGTTAAAGTGTCTACAGGTCACACACTATAGAAATTTCAAATGTGGTTCTAGAGAACAGCCAGCTGAGAGAAGACCACCTACTTGATGGCTTCTGTGTGGGTTGTCAGAAACCGCGAAGTGTTTCTTCCTTAGAGCAAATGTGCATAAAGTTTCAAAGGGCAAGTCAGCACAGACAACCAACCCTGAATCACAGTAGGAACCCTGCTACCCATGGTCACCACCTGTAATCGCTGAGCCCAGTGTCAACAGCTTGGCTACGGGAGAGCCTTATTAGGATATTTTTTTAACACTATGTTTGTATTTACTGCATGATAGGGACTGGGACAAGATTAATGGGACAATGATACCAGTTTTGAGAAATTTCAAGTTTTATTTGTGTTTTAATATTAATTGGAATCTAAAACTATTTTTAAAGCAACATTACCTAAATGATAAATAAAAGGCAGATGCATCCCAGAAAGTTTTTTGTAAATAAAATAATTTTCTTAAAGTGTAAGGCCTACCATGTCACCTACACACACACACACACACACACACAACTCCCTAACACATACTAAATCCAGTGGCACTAGCCTCCTGGCTATTCCAGAAACGAGACTGTTGATCTCTGGGCTCCAAGCATTTTTTTTCTGACTGTTCCCTACACCTGGCTTGCTCTCCCTCCTCAACTCCACCTACTGGCCTCCCTGGCCAGTTACTCTCATCATGATAATTTTTACCCATTTGCCATTAAGTCTCTTTTCTCATTATACCTTCCAACTTTGCTGTTGTCAGTTTCCTGCAGGAATCTACTCTTCTCTTGAGGAAGAATGCTGTCCATGGAGGTATGACATTCTCAAAAGTCTTTTGAAGCACCAAATTTTTGCTGATTGTACCCATTAAAACTCTTCATTTCCTATCACAGAATCTCTAACACCCCCTCATTAAGGGTGTTTTTTCAATAAGATCTCCCCTCTTACCACCGAATCAAGATTTCCTCCTTTTTTCCACCCCACCGTTTCAGTCCCTACCTTTGCCAGGTGACACCTATTCTCCTGTAGTCTGTCTTCTTCCTAAGAGAATACAAAAATTGCTTTCTCATCATTGCTTACCATTTACTTGAGTCGGGTACATTGCTGGGCATTATCTGCCATCTCCTCTCTCTCCTTTTATTCACCTTCCCACTGTGCACTTTAGTCTCAAAAGAAAATTTTTTTTGATTCACTCATAGATGCGCAGTATTGTGAGTTTCAAGCCACATGGAATTTTCAGGTCAGGTTCTCTACCATCTCTTCTATCTGAATTCCACTTTCACCCTCACCTTTTTGTGTACTTTTAGAAAGAATTCTTAATGGTTCCTCTGTTGTTATTTTGTTTGTTTTGCTTAACCTTTTTTAAAAAGGGAAAATTCAGTTGGGGGGGAGATGGTGAGGAATGTGGAGTGGGGAAATCAGGAATCAAGGAATAGATTAATCAGAAATGGCTGAGGTATGTAGATGTTGAATGGAAAAGACAGAAGTTGATCCATTATTATTTTAGCACATATTAGAGATTAGAGGAATGGGATATAGGGCAGAAAACATTTGACCTGGCAGAAGTCTAGAGCATGAGTATCTTCTGGGAAGTTTTGGATCGGCATCTGGGGCAGCATGAATTTACTTAGGTCTAAAAATCTGTGAATCTCTGAAATTTGTATCCTATTCTACTGCACCTCAGTCTGACCTCTGTTTCAGTAAGAGCTGAAGGAACTTTCTTCTCTGACTGGGCAAGTCATGTCACTGCCTTTCTCTCAGGCCAGAGTTTCTCCCTCTGTAAAATATAGGTCTTAGATTAGATGATTCCTAAAGTCCTTTCCAGTTCTAATGCTGTTTTGACAGAGGTGATTTCAAGCTCTTTTCAGTCCCCAAAGTATTACTTAAGTTTCTTGGATGCCAAATTCAGAGCAACAATTGATCTAATACCTAATTATTAAGATTAGGAATCAGTCAGAAGGCTTTCTTCATCTCCCCTGGGATTGGCTTCTCAAATGGAGGCCTCATGGAGTCTCAAGTTCCCCTTCCATGGTGGTCAGTGTCCCTGTGTCTAAGACAGACACAACCTTCCCTCCTCTACTTGCAAATCAGGACAACTTTCCTTCAGCTTACTCCACTACTTATCTGGAATCAGTAAGCTAATGTAAGAAAGCAAGTGAGCTGAGGCAAATTAGTTTGTCCCTTGTATTCTCTGGCCTCTCCTGTCACTGACACTAACAACGATCTGTTCAGCACTTTATCAGTTGCTCTGAAGAGGAAACAGATAGTCTGCTTAACAAATATGTCAATGACATGAACCTTGAAGGATGGGTATGTGGAAGAAGTGAACAAAATTACCATCCCAGATGAATCCTAGAGTCTGACTTCAGCATGCTTCCTGAAGTTGATAACTTCTAGTGAGCTTACTCACTCCCCTTGCCTTGCCAAACCCCCAGTATTGCACCATGAACATCCCTAACATACTTCTGTAATGCACAGACCCTCCTCTCCTTAGAAATAGCCCTACTTCAAGGCATGCTGCCTCCACCTTGTTTTGTATCAGCCAACTTGCTGTAAATGACCCCTAGAACTATAAGACCAGCTGCAGGAACTCAGTGTCTTCTTTTCATCTCTTATCAGTACAAAAAGTTGTGGTTTGTTCTTCATTCTCATTCTTGAAGATCTGGCTGCTAAAGGTGGAAGATTTCAGAGACTGAGGAAAGTTCTCCTCCCTCTCTGGCTCAATGGGCAGATTTCTGAATTGAGTGAGTTTATCTATACTCAGATGATACCTCCCTTATCTGTCTCTTGTAACCAATAATATACATTTTTCTCCAAGTATACTATTTTTTTTGTATAACTACTTATGTTGCATGAAGAACTTTCTTTATTTCATCTTACTTTGCATACTGTTTAGCTTATGAAAGCTGCGCCAAAAAATCCATATGTATATGTGTATATACATATGTACACATATGTATATGTGTACATATGTACACACACACATACATAACCACTTATGCCAGGCTCAGTGTAGATGCTGTCCTTTTTGGTACCTACCAGAATAGGCCAGGATAAATGGCTACTTGCTTCATTATTAATTGACTCATTGCTATTATCTGACTGTAACTTCAAGAACCTAGATTGGTAAGTATCCCCCCACTCCCCTGCCCAAATCTATTACAGATAATACACTGGCTAAAAGAGTTAGCGATATAAAAGATTGATATATGAGAATAAAGTACCTGGTCTAATGTAATAAGGACAAGTGTAATGTCTTACAATTGTATTTTTTAAAAATCAAAAGCACAAATTGGGTAAAGCGTGGCTGAAAAGCAATTTATATGAAAATGACCTGGGGACTACAAGCTCAATTTGAGTCAAAAGTGTAGCAGAGCAATGAAAAGAAGATAATTTCTTAAGCTGCATTCACAGAAGTATTAGCATCTTGAGCAGAGGAAATGAAACTCCTGTTATACTCTGCTCTTGTTTGGCCACGGCTTTTTTTTAATTTAAGCACTTAATGGAGTACACATCTAGTACCATGCTGGAGACATGCTGGCCTGGTACCCATCTTGATGTATCTCCTTGGGGTTTGTATTGTTCTCAATCAATGGGATAGGTTACTTCTACACAAAGAAATGGCACACTGCTAGAAAGAAACAAGACTCCAATCAACTTCAATGGGCATCCCACTCATGTTCAGGGCTCATCAGATTTTTTTTTTTGCTTTCTTTTTAAACTAATCCTGCTGGTTCTATCATTAAGTAAATTAAGAATTATTTGGACTGCCCTATGTATTGTCAGTATCTTTTCAGAAAACTGTAGGTACACTATGTGTTTCAGGGTCCCAGGGGATTTTTTTTCTTCAGACTTCCAGCTGGATTGATTTATATGCAGCAGGGAAAAACTGAGATATTTACATCTACAATGCTTTGGTTTTGCACTTGCAGAAGATCACTGCAACACATTTCCCAGGTATCCTTCCAACATTTAGGGTTCAACATTTTTTTCTCCAAAGGATCCTTGCCAATGTATGTTATTATATACATGCTCTTTTACACTAATGTTCTCACTGACTGTGTGCTCTGCTAGGGAGGGGACCTCCTCCCACCTTTCCTATTACTGCAGAGGCCAACAACCATCCTCCCAGTCCTTTAGACTCACAACCTAAGAGTCATCTTGGACACCTATGTTTCACACCCCTATGTCCAATCTGTTGCCAAGTCCTGTAGATTTCACCTTTGCAACATCTCTCAAATATGCCCCTTTGTCTCCTCTAATACTGCCACTACTCTAGCACAAGGCCCTCATACTGTAACAGCCTGCTGGTGGATCTGCCTGCTTCACTCCAGGCAGATCGCCTCTCCTCACTCCCATCCACTTCAGCCACTACAGTGATTTTCCTAAAGCACAGATGTGATCATGTCACCCCACTAGTCAATAAACTCCAGTGGATCCCTCCTCTTCAGGATCAAATACAAAAAAGCCCTTCATAACCTAGCTCCCTCCTACCTTTCCTGTCTTCTTACACCTTACTTCCCAACATGCACTTTTCAATCCAGTGAAACTGGCCTCTTGCCTGTTCCACAAATAAGACACTCCATCTAACATCTTGGCATTTTCTCTGCCTGTCTCCCATGCCTGCGACACTCTCCCTCCTCAACCTCACCTACTGACCTCCCTGGTTTCTTTTGAATTCCAACTAAAATCCCATTTTTTTTACTGGAAGCCTTCTTTAACCCCTCTTAATTCTAGTTCCTTCCCTCTATTAATTATTTCTGATTAATCATGTATATAGCTAGCTTGGTACATATTTGTTTGCATGTTGTCTCTGCCATTTTATTGTAAGCTTCTTGAGGGAAAGGGCTATATTTCGTCTCTTTTTGTTTTGCCAGGATTTAACATGGTGACTGGCACATAGTAAGTGCTTAAAAATGTTTATTGATTAATTGATTGTAGTAACCAGGGATGATGATAATGATTGTGTATGTGCATGTACTCATGCTCACCAGTGTGTGTGCTTCCCCAGCATCTTGAATAGCACCTTTTTAATTAGTATGCATGATAGAGGCAGGAATCACTTCACCAGGACATGTCTGTAATCACACAGCAAATCAGAAACAGCTTAGATGGAACATCTGACAAAATGAAATGAGATTCTGCCCTGTCTAGAGGAATATTTGAGTTCCAGACATTTCATATAAGAGAGATTCAAGCCAAATCAGTATTCTCACATACTAAGTCAAGGACAAAGGAATAATAAGGTTCAGTGTGGAACTCAATAGAACTTTGACTCATTCATTTTCCAATTGTTCTCTGAGGCAGAAATAGTTCAATTAATATTCAGAATCTGAGTAACGACAGAGCATTTGTAATACTTATGCAATGTCTGCATCATCCATTGCAATGCATTACTCCCAGCAGATAAAAGACGTCACTGTTTAGCAATCTACAGAACATTTTACTAGACAGATCACTGACTCATTCACCATTCAATTGCTTCATCTGTGGCTCTATATCAACATCTGTAAACATGGAGGTAATAATCTCTACCTACTTACCTTAAGGTGCCATCAGAATTGTTCCAGTTTTTAACAGGGCTTTCAATTCATCTTGCTTTGCAAACTATAAGTAGCTGTGAAATCCATTTTTCAGTATATCACAATTCACTCACTTGAGCCTTTAAAACTTCACCCCTTTAAAAAAAATCTTAGAAATCATCTTTAGTCCAAATTCCCTGACTCAAAATAAAAAAAAAGGTCTCTGCTTTAACTCTAGAGGTATGGTACTAAAACTCATTCTTTGCACAGGACATACTGGAAAACTTTGACTACACACTAACAAGGAATAACCTCAAATCAGATGTGACCTGGAAAACAATAGTCATAGCTACCTAATAATCACTGCATTACTTAACATCAAGATGAGCAGTTTAAAACAGTCAGTTGTACTGGCTAAGAAATAGAATGGTGGATCAGTGAAATAGGTTAAATATGCAAGACACAGTAGTCAATGACTATAGTAATCTATTATTTGATAAACCCAAAGACCCCAGCTTCTGGGATAACAACCCAATCTTTGAAAAAAACTGCTGGGAAAACTGGAAAAGAGTATGGCAGAAACTAGGCATAGACCAAAATCTCACACCAAATATCAAAATAAAGTCAAAATGGGTTCATGATCTAGATATAAAGACTGATACTATAAGCAAAATGGGAGAGCAAGAAATAGTTTACCTATCAGATCTATGGAGAACAGAAGAATTCATGACCAAACAGGAAATAGAGAACATTATGAAAAGCAAAATGGATAATTTGATTACATTAAATTGAAAAGTTTTTGCACAAAGCCAAGGGAACTAAGATTAGAAGGAAGGTAGAAAATTGAGAAAGAATTTTTACAACCACTGTCTCTGATAATGGCCTCATTTCTAAAATATATAGAGGATTGAGACAAATTTATAAGAATACAAGCCATTCCCCAATTGATAAATGGTCAAAGGATATGAAAAGACAGTTCTCAGATGAAGAAATTAAAGCCATCTATAGTCATTTCTCATAGCACAATTTCTTCCATCATATTATATACCACAACTTCTTCAGCTGTTTTCCAACTGATGGGTATCATCCTCTGAATTTCAAATTCTTTCCTGACACAAAAAGAGCTGCTATAAATATTTTTGTACATATAGGTCCTTTTCCTTTTATCCTTTTGGAATAGACATAGTAATAGTATTGCTGGGTCAAAAGGTATGCAGTTTCTATACCCTTTGGACATAGTTCCAAATTGTTCTCCAGAAGGGTTGGACCAGTTCACAATTCCACCCACAGTGCGTTAGTGTCCCAGTTTTTCCACATTTCATTAAGCATTTGTCCTTTTCCTTTTCTGTCATGCAAGCCAATCTAACACGTGTGAGTTGTTTTACTTTACAGTTTCCCTCATTAATGATTTAGAGCACTGTTTCATATGACTATTGGTAGCATTGATTTCTTCTGAAAACTGCCTGTTCATGTTCTTTGACCATTTAGCAAGTGGGAAACTGCTCTTATTTTTATAAATGTGGCTCAGTTCACTATCTAATTGAGAAATGAGGCCTTTAACACAGACATTAGCTGTAAAATTTTCACCCCAATTTCCTTAAAATTTTGGTTGCCCTGGTTTTGCTTCTTCAAATACTTTTTAATCTCATGTAATCAAAGTTATGTATTTTGTTTCCTGTGATCTTCCCTCTCTCCATCTTCTTGGGTCATAAACTCTTCCTTTATCCACAGATCTGAGAGATACAATTTTTTATGCTCCCGTTATTTGCTTAAGTTATCACTTCTTATTTCTAATCATTTTGACTTTCTGACCTTGGTATATGGTGGAAGATCTTACTCTTTGCTTAGTTTCTGCCAAACAGCTTTCCAGTTTTCCCAGAAATTTCTGTCAAATGGATTTTTGGGAGGTTTTGCTCCCAGAGCTTTAATCCTTGGGTTTTTTAAACACCAGATCACTATGGTAATTTACTACAATGTTTTGTGTACTTAATCTATTCCACTGATCCATCACTCTTTCCTAGCCACATTTCTTAGCCAGTACCACATTGTTTTGATAATTAACACTTTATAATATAATTACCACCTTATAATGCAGTTTGAGATCTGATATGACTAGGCCACCTTCCTTCACATTTTTTTTACCGTTTCCCTTTATATTCTTGGCCTTTTGTTCTTCCAGATGATTTCCCTTTGTTGTAACAAAGTTGAATGACCATAATAAGACTAAAAGTTAAGTTGGCTCAATGCATTCAGCAACTGGAGACAGAGCTCTTGGCTTCTGACAATCCAAAATAGCAGCTAATAGGCTCCGTAACAGCACACATAAAAGAGGTGGGGACCAACACCAGAGAACACAACGGCAACCAATGGGCTGAGACTGGCAACCTCAGAGATTTCACTGCACTGAACTGAGACCAGAATCGTAAGATAGGAGAATCAGAGCAGGAGTGAGGCAGAGACTTGGGAAGTGTGCTAACAAAGTTCCTGATATTTCCTATTTACTGTTTCTCCAAGGGTGACTCCTTCTACCCAGGAACCAGGGCATGAGTGGGCTTTCACCACTAACCTAAGTTCAAATCCTATCACAGACAAGAAGTTGCTGTGTGACCCTGGGCAAGTCATTTAAGCTCTGAGAGAGCCTCAGGTTTCCACATCTCTAAATTGGGGATAATAACAGAATCTACCCCCCAGAAATGTTGTGAGGATCAAGTAACATATATTAAATGCTCTGAAAACCTTAAAAAAGTGATGGTGATGATGCAACAGAGGAGTTGGAAGAGAAGTTCAAGTAGCAACCTAATGAGTCACTGGAGCAATGGCTGCTGAGGGGATGGTCAAATGGAACTAATGGGAAGCTTCTCTCCCCAGTAGAGACCCATAGGGAAGCTCTCAGAAGACTTAACTAGGGAAGCTGCTTAAATAATTACTCAATCCACGTGGAAGTTACCTTACGTCCCTTTTTAGGGAGGTAAGATAGGGATATTACACACACCTGGTCCCATAAAGATAAAATGCTGCCGTACCAATGAGGGTCTGCAAAGGAGGGGGTTAAGTTCCTAAAAGAAATGGGTTTGATAAATTAGATTTATGCAGACCCTAACATGGGCTTTACTCTACAACTATACAGGGGTAGTCTGGTAAACTAGTAAAATGTGAAGCAGAGATCAGGACAGATATGACTCAGGCAAACAGTCCATTCAAACAGGCACTCTTGGGGATGGGAGAAAGCAGAGTCCACCATACTGCCAAGACTTGATGAGGGAGCTTTGGGTATGGGGTTCCTAAAACACAAGGCTGTTAATAAAGTAACTGATGGTCAGCCTATGGAGGTACCAGTAAAACTGTACTAGGAAATGTAACAACAGGGCATTAAGACCCTTCAGTTTCCTCTAACCCCAAGGGAAGGGCTATCATGGGCTCTTGGGAGGCAGCATCTGTATTGAGCCCCTTTTGGGAACCTCTATGTAAGTTATTTAGTGCAGGATACATGGGAACATTTTGTGTTGTCTGAACCATCCCATGTAGGTAACCAAACAATACAGATCTCTGAGGAGGGTTGGGGGAACGGGTGCCGTGGTTCCTAGTGAAACATATTTCTTCTTTAGTGAGGGAGATGAAGAAATCGGAAGCACCTCCTAATTCTCCACATTACAATCCCTTGTGGTCCATGAGGACGGTAGATGGCACCTTGCCACATGAACAAAGTCATGCCCACCACAACTAACAGTTGTTCTTGATCTCTTCAAAGTCATTCACCAAGTAGCTCAGGCCCAGAGTGAGTGATATGGAATTACTGACCTCATCAATGCTTTTTTCTTCATTTCTGTGGCTGAGACAAGTAAGGAGCATTTTGTTTTCAACTGGAAGAGTCCAGTATACTTTAGCTATCTTTCTGTAGGACAACTTGAATTGTGCCTCTTATCGATCCATTAAGGTGGGAGGCCTCCCTTCATGAGGGCACACTGATATACACCATTACAGTGATGACAAATTTGACTGTACCAGATAAGGCCACAATGATTGAAGCCCCAGACAGGAAGGTAGCCTGGCCCATATCATGGTTCAGGACTGGGCCCAGGGTATAGCCTGCTAAGTTTGGGGGAATATAGTGGATTGGGAAAACTCAGGGGATCATAAACACAGCAGACTGATTTCTATGTGACCCACAGTGACTTTCCCCTGCACTTGGGAGACTTCCACTTTCTCAGGTGAGAAGACCAAGACTTTCCTCTAACCAGGAGCCTTCTGATGCCTGCTTTGAGTGATCCCTTAGGAGAGGCTGCTACAGGCTAGTGGAATGACTTCCATCTGTGCCAGCACAAGACAACTTCCACCTCCTGCTGCAGGCCTGATCTGGCACAGACAAGAGGGAAGAGAAAGAGAAAAGAGAAAATGTGTTACACAGCTTCGACTTCCATCTCTGCTCATTTTCCAGTATTTGGAGGGGAGAGGAGTGAACTAGGTCCTCCCATTTGACTGTGTGCCTTCCATCTCATGCTGCATTTGTCCCCAGCCTGAGCTTGTCTCCTGTGTAAAGAGAAGCAGTTCCTTCCACTTAATGATGAAAATTCTGACACCTGCTCATATCCTACAGCTCTCACTGATTCTGACCCCTGCAGGTAATCATCGGAACCCTATTCCCCATCCTCCACCATTCCTTATTCTTAATCCTCTCAACCATCTCACCTCAAACACCATTCACTTCAAACACCATTCACTTCTACTGTGGCCTCTGGAATGCTTGTTCCACAGGCAACAAAGTTCCCTAGACAAATCTTTTCCTCTCCTATTTCTTCCATTCTCTATTGGCAAGCAGGCTTCCCCTAGTAACCCAACTTCTCTGGCCACCCTTTCCAGTACTGGCTATACCTTCACTCTTTGGCTCACTGATTGAGACGACAAAGTCGGAATATGCCTTGCCCACCACTGCCACTTCCAGGTTCTCAGTAACACCTTTCCTCCTTTGAGGGTCATGCAATTCACATCTACCACCAAATCAAAATCCTGGCAGCTGCTGTTGAAAAATCTTCAGGTTACTCCCCTTGCTTGCTCAATGAGTTTGGACTCACAATTTTTCTCTCCTCTCTACTTGCTGTCCTCACACTTGGGGACTTCAACTTACACATTGGCATCCTCTCACTTAAACCTACTTCCTTAACCTATTCACTTCCCCTGACCTATTCCTCCACCCCATGTCAGCCATATACAGATGGTTACACCTCTAATCTTTCCATTACCCACACATGTACCACATCCATATTCAAGTATTTCCAAATCTGACCACAATCTATTGACATTCCACCCCTCCCTCTGCCTTCCCTTGCCAAAACCTACTCTTCACCCACACCATGATCTCAAATTCCTTGACCCCTCACTCATCTCCTAGTCCCTTTTCCTTACATTAGCCACTGTCTACTCTTTTCCCCAACTTGACCCCTTAGTGAACCAATTCTTTACACTGTCCTATTCTCGAGCCCTACTTCCATTATATCAGCAATTGGACCCTGCCAACCCACCATCTGGCACCTGAATGTTGGTAAAGAAAGTCACACAACTGTTTCGAGTGGGCTCATTACAAAGTAATACTATACAACCTCAACTGGGCCTTCACTTCCACTAGGCAATCCTTGTACACCTCCTTTATCAGCTCACTTTCCCACTCTCCACCCTGGCTTTCCCAAACTTTTTTAGCCCTCCTCAAATCCCCCGTGGCTTCACTTTTTCAGAAAAAAAAAAACTGGAGCTGTTCTCCATTAACTCCTTCTTCCTTTCATATCACTTATATGGTTTCTGCCACTATCTCCTCCTTTATCCTGTCTGAAGTGAAAAGTTGGCTTTACTCCTTACAAGGGCCTAACCCCTCTACCTGCACATGCGGTCTCAATCCATCTAATCTCCTCTAATACTGTCCATTCTGTCATCTCTACTCTTATCATTTGTTTTCCATCATTCTCTGTCTACTGGCTCCTTCTCTGCAGCCTGCAAACCCCCAGGGCTCCCTATCACCTACAGGATCAAATATAAAATCCTCTGTTTGGTGGTCAAAGGCTTTCATAACCTACCTTGCAAGTCTTCATACACTTCATACTCCTAGAACAAAACACTCTCATCTTTCAGATGTGGACATTCCCTCTGGTGGGCTCTCATGCCTGGCTTGCTCTCCTTTCTCATCTCCACCTACAAGCTTCTTTTAAGTCCCAACCAGAATCTCATCTTTTACAGAAAGCTGTTTGCCAATCCCTATTCATTCTAATGCCTTCTCTCTTAATCTTCTCCTATTTACCCTGTATGTTCTTTGTTTGTACCTATTCCCTGAGTTGTATTGGATGAAATGTTTTATTCTACTTTCTAATACTTTCCCAGGTGACGTGTTCTTTCATTTCCAGCCTGTAGTGTTCTCTAATTCCCCATGGGCCCATTATTCAGACATGCACATTTCCCTTTGTCTTCCCTCCTTTAGGGAAAGAATGAGAAAAAGGCATCGAACCCAGGGAGAGTGTGTATATACAAACACTATAAAATGAGATTGATTTTCTTACATGGCTAATAAAGTATCTTTCAAAGAAGTTTCAAAATGGAAGTTCAGAAGTGTGCTGAGGAACATTAGGATCAAACGAAATGGTTTACAAAGCACTTTGCAAAACTTAAAGCACTCTGTGAATGTCTTCCTTTTAATATCAGGCACTATCTTTTGTCCTGTGTTGTATTCCCAGGCCTTAGCACAGTGCCTAGCACCTAGTAGGCTCTCAATAAATGTTTACTGTCTATCTAGCTCCAGTCTCTTTTCTGAGTTCCAGTCCTGACTCACTGACTGCCTTTTGGCTCTCCTACAGGTATCCCAAAATAAACATTTCCCAACCAGAAGCAAGAGTCCCCCTAAACCCTACCCTCTTCCCAATTTTCCTGTGCCTTTGCATTGGGTTTCTTAGTTTCCTTAGCTTCCTTGAAGGCTCAGCTAAAAATACCATCCAAAATAGCACTGTTATCCTACAAAGTGCAAAGGCCAGATTTTACTTTCACAATGCTTAAACAGGTTAAAATAATGGCAAACCTGTGCCTGGAACACATGCAAAGTATGGTAAACACTGATAAACACTTTTTTTTCCAGGAGTTAGGTTTTATTGTAAGCCCATGTATAAATACTTTATTAATTGCAAGAAACAGGTTTACCCCCATAATGCAGATATCAACAAGAGACAAAAAGACAACATAACAGGCCCTACACTAAGAGCTGGAGATACAAAGGAAAGCAAAAGAACTTTCCTTGCATTTCAAGAAACTCGGTCTAATGGGAGAGACAACTTTCACACTATGTACAAAGAAGGTGAAATCAGAGGAAAGGCATTAACATTAAGGGGTGAAAGACTGGGAAAGGCTTCTTGCAGAAGGGATTTTAGTTGAGACTTGAAGGTGGAAATGAAGGAGAGAATTTCAGGCCCAAGGGAGAGGCAGTGAAAATGCAGTCACAGAGAGAATGTCAGGTGGGAGGAACAGCAACGAGATCAATGTCACCAGATTGTAGCTGGTGTCGAGGAGGAAGGGAGAAAGAACTGGAAAGGCAGGCAGGGACCAAGTTATAAAGGGCTGTAGAAACCAAACCGAGGAATTTATATCTGATCCTGGAGGTAAGGGGGAGTCACTGGAGTGGCTGAGTATACTGAATGAGGGAAGGGCTGGGATGATATAGTCAGACTGGCACTTTATGAAGATCACTTCTCCCTAAGAGGAAGCTTCACTATGGGCAAATAAGGTCAACTTATGATTGGCTCTACCCTCGTCACTGGTTCAGTTAATTTAGTCAAGTACTTTGAACTGTATGCTTTAGTTTTTCTGCATGTAAAAAAGGGATATTTTGCCCTCATCAACTCCAGAAAAATGTCTATGAAAATCCAAACAATCTCCATAAGGACAGGTGCTGTTTTATTAGGTGGCTCAGTGGATAGCACGATGTAGTTGAAGCCAAGACTTGTTCCAATTCTGTTGTGACCTGTACAAGTCACTTAACCACTTTTTATCTCAGTTACCTCATCTGTAAAATGAACATGTTAAGTAGCAGTTATCTTACAGGATTATTGGGAGGATCCAACGAGATAACATATGTAAAGCACTATATGCTAGCTATTGTCATTATCACTATTTTTCGTATTCCTAGAGCCTCGTACAATACCTTGCTTTCACTAGGTTTTCAATAAACACTTGCAGAACTGCACAAACATGAATTATTTCTCGTTTACTTATGAAGTACACATTACTATGTCAATATGTGAGTGCTCAATTTTTGTAATGACAAATTTCTAGTAACCCAAGCTGCACTTTTCTGATGAATTTGTTTTCCACATCAGTTATTTGGCTTGTACTCTCTCTCTACCTTTTCTTCCACCCTTTTAGACATTGCCTCATGTCATGCTGTGTCACTTCTTCACAAATCAGAACTATCGATTAATCAAAAAAACATTGATTAAGCACCTACTGTTTTTGAGCACTGTGCTAAGTGTTGGGGATACAAAAAAAAGGCAAAAGACAATTCCGGCCATAAAGGAGCTTATAATCTAATGGGGGAGACAACATAAAAATATATATACAGAGCAAGCTCTTAAAGGATAAATAGAAGATAGTTAAAGAGGGAAAGCACCAGAAATTAAGAGAGGTTAGGGAAGGCTTCCTGTAGAAGATGGACTTTAGTTGGTACTTAAGGAAGCCAGAAAAGTCAGCAGATAGAGGGGAAGAGATCGAATATTCCCAGCAAGGGGGGACAGTTGGAGAAATCCCAGAGCCAGAGACAGACTCTCTTGTGGCTTGAACACACAGGTGGCCAGTGTTATTGACTGAAAAATACATGTTGGGGAATAAAAGGACTAAAATGGTAGAAGAGGAGTGGGTTGTGGAGGCAATAGAGAGACAATGGCGTTTGCTGAGTAGGACAGCAACATGTTTAGACCTGCGTTTTAGGGGGATCATTTTAGGCAGGCAGATTCACCAGCAGGCTATAATACAATAATCCAGGCATGAGGTAATGAGGGTCTGCATTGTCAGAGGACAGGGGGGGCATACGAGGAGATGTTGCAAAGGTGAAATTATTATGCCTTTGCAACAGGTTGGATATCCGAAAGAAAGTGAGGAATCAAGGATGACTCCAAGCCTGAGGGACTGGGAGGAATGGTGTTGCCTTCTATAGCAATAGGGAAATAAGGAGGAAGTAAAAGGAGAAAGAAGAAAAGGAGGAGGAAAGAAAATGAGTTCTATTTTGGACATACTAAGTTTAAGATGTCTTCTGGACATCCGGTTTGAGATGTCTGAGAGGCTGTTAGAGGAGATGCAAGATTGAAGGGTAGCAGAGAGATTGGCACAGGGAAAGGCAGATTTATGAATCATAAGCATGGAGAGGATAATTAAATCTATGGGAGGTGATGAGATCACCAAGTGAAGCAGAATAGAAGAAGGCCCAGGACAAAACTCTGAGGGACGCCTATGATTAGAGGGTGTGATCTGGAGGAAGATCCTGCAAAGAAGACAGAGAAGGAATGGCCAAATACGTGAGAGAGAGTGGTGTCCTGAAAACTCAAGAGAAAACAGAATATCAAATCAAGGTGGAGAGAGGGTCAAAGGCTATAATAAGGTCAAGGAAAATGACGACTGAGAAAAGACCACTGCATTTCACAACTGAGAAATCATTACAGTAGATCTGGTGGAATGATAATGCTGGAAGCCAGACTGTAAGAAGTGAGAGGAGAGAAAACAGAGGCACTGAGTTTAGTTAAAAAGGGAAGAGATACAGGATGAGAGACAGCAGGAATGGAAGAATCAAGTGATTATTTTTTTCAGGATAGGGAAGGCACAGGCATGTTTGCAGGCAGTAGGAAATGAGCCAGTAGCTATTTGAAATTTCATATCGTCTTACTGGAACAGTCCCAGACTCTAGTCATCATCCTCATTTCCTCCTCACAGGAGCTTTGGACTTGACCCTTGAAATGAACTAGGGCTCTGTTTGTATGAGTTCTTGCCCTGATCAGGCTTCCATGCCACTTTTTGGCAATCTCCACACCCTGCCATTATGTTTACAACACAATTCCCTCTCTTCCACATCCCATTTGTGCTGTTTTCCCCATTAGAAGGTATGTTCCTTGAAAATTTGCTTCTCTTGAACTTGTATCACTGATACTATGCCTGAAATAGTAAGCACTTAAAACGTTTTTGAAAATTATTTTGAAAATTTGCTTGAACTCACTCTATTATTTTGACTCATAAAATTTAGTGCTTAGTAAAAGCACAAAATTAACTCCATTTCCAGACCTATAACTAGAGTGTAATTTACTCCCAGAAAGTTGGTTGAGGCACTTAGAGGCTAAGTGATTTCCGGTGGTCACACAGATTTATAGGCAGTTATGTGTCACAGAGGGGATTTAATCCAGGCCTTCCTGACCTCAAGGTAGGACCTCTATGTACTACTGGAAGCCCTTTCTTCAAATTGCTAATTAAATTAAGCAAAGAGACATGAAGAAAGTGATACCAAGATTCAAAATAATGGTGAAACAGAATGGGGGCCAATATTTTGTATGTAGTTCCCCTTCCTTACTCCAAAAAGCTTAATGATATTTACAGCAGGCTACAAGTACCAGATTATAGTAAGGATGGTTCTGAACATGGTACTAAAAGGAAAAGTAACAAACTTCAGATTAAATATTACTGCTTAATGCTGAGCATGCAGAGAGGTGGAAGTTAAATGCACTGTGGGCTTGTCCTATTACAATAAGATAATTTTTAAAAAGCATGTAGATGCTTTTTGCAAGTAGATACAGCTGTATTTCAAAAATATGTTTAGTGCAACACCTGGCATTGTTGGCATACAATATTAATACATACACGTATGTCAATACAAGTCCACTAAAGCAAGCAACATTTAAGCAAGCAAGAGGCAGTGCTGGACGGTGGATAGAGTAGCAGTCTTGGAGCAAGAAATACTTGCCAAGACAAGCAAGTCACCTAATTTCTCAGTGCCCCAAGTGACTCATGATTCACATGAGTTGCTGATGTGCATGTACCTTCTGTGTTCAAAGTCTTAGAAGAGTTGCTGGGGCAACGAGAGGTACCTTGTCCAGTGTCACTTAACTGGACAGAGCCAGCATGTCAGAGGCAGAAAGTGAGCCCATTCTCCTTGATGCAGACCCCAGCTCTCATTCTGTCAGGTCAGGATGCCTCTCTAATAAAGAATGAACTATAAACTATTTGTGTCATGGACCCCCTGGACAGCCTAGCAAACCTTTCTTAGAATAAGTTTAGTTTTTTCTATTCATAATCAAAGGAAATGTCAAATTTCAGCTAGGGGCTAGTGGAAATAAATTCTTTTTTCCCATCCAAGTTTGTGGATCCCCTTAAATCTATTTGTGGAACTGTTTTAGAGGGTCTCTTCTAGATCAACTGTGTTCTAAATAACAGACTCCAGTCCATATTCTTAAACACTTTAAGGTTTACAAAGGTCTTTAACTCTGAGGTAGGTAAAAGCATTACTATTCTAATTAGTCATTTTAAGGATGAAGACATCTAGGCTCTGACTGGCTTACCATTATCATGCTTATAGATTGCTTCCTTCTGTTTTTCTTATTGTAATTCAGTTTTCCTGGTCTACCTCAAAATTGGGATTAGAAATGCTTTTGTGACCTCTGCAAGTCACTATAACCTACTAGTTTCAGGTTTCAACTGTACAATGAGGCAATTGAGTAGTCTATCTCTAAGTAAGGTCTCTTCCAGCTTTATATTCTATGATCCAAAATAAAAATTTCATAACGAGCAGAGTCTAGATAGCTAAAACTACTCCTGGGTATAAACTTACATAAAAGTTCAATTGGACTATTCCCTCTTCATCTTGTTAATTTTTTCTACACAATATTAAGTGTACCCCAAATGCTGCGTGAACTATCAACAAAGGAGAAAGAACACTAGCCTGAACTTAGTTGTATGACCTTGGAAAATCACTTAACCTTTCTTTATTTGTAAAATAAGAGTTAGATTATATCTCAAATTCTATGAAATTGTGTTTCTTTTTGTCTTTGCATGTAGCCCAGTGCTTGACACATAAAAGTTGCTAAATAAATGCCTGTTCATGATTGAATTACTTCTTAAAGTTTATCAATTCTATAATGTGAGGAGAAAATGAAAACTAATCAGTTACAAAGTATTCATCTTCAGTAGCAATAAATTTAGAATGGAAAAAAATACACAACATGAGATTAAAATCAAGAACAGCATTAATATTCTTTTTTTTTTTTGGTTAGGCAATGGGGTTAAGTGACTTTCCCAGGGTCACACAGCTAGTAAGTGTTATGTGTCTGAGGTCGCATTTGAACTCAGGTCCTTCTGAATCCTGGGCCAGTGCTCTATCCACTGTGCCACCTAGCTGTCCCCTAAGAACAGCCATTAATCTTAAAGAAGTTTTCCCATCATTTGATTTTCAATTTTGATAATCAGCCTTCACCACAGAAAAATTCTATTTTGGAAATATAAATTTTTACAGCACATACCACAAAGTGTGAAATGCTATATTAACAAGCTTCTAAATCTCCCTGGGTTGTAGTTTTACTAATTATTCACTGTGAACAATAATATGCCTTTTTCCCCCCCCAGCATCAGCTACAATCTTGAATTTTACAGGACTACAATGTTAGTGATTATTTACTTAATAAAACTACCATTTGATCAGCATTCCATAATAATGTCCCTAAGTAAATTAATTAGTTCTCCAAGCATTTTATTGTAGAACTTTTTTATCAATGAGAAATCCATAAAATAGGGCTATTAAAAAGTTAGGTATTCCTTTATTCAAACTGTAGAAGGATCTTCTTTGCTCTTTCACTATTAAGGAGAGAAATACTTTGTTTTTTTAATAACACTAAAGCAAAATAAATGTTTTACAATGCACACTCTAGACAGCTGAAACTACTCCTGAGTATAAACTTACAAAGAAGTCTCTTAGGCTCAACTGAAATATTCCCCCTTCATCTTGCTATTATTTCTACAAAATTTTGGTGAATACTATAAATATATCCAGGTAGATTTTTGTGCCAGACAACTGCTGAAGCAAGAGGCCTAACTAATGATCTCAGATTAAAAAAATAGAAGGCAATCAAAATTTACTCAATGTTACATTAAGAAAAGCTTTCACAGAACAACAGTGAAACAGTTCCAACGGTTAAGAAAATACTGATATTTTGAGTACAAACCACCACAATGTCAAAATAGACAAAACTACTGTATAAAGGAATACTTAAATAATGAATACAACATACGAGTTGGGATTGCTTTCTCATCCTACTAATACCAAATTTAGTCTTTATATTCATAACATATGTCTGGAATTTGCTGAAGTCTCATTTCACCAAGACAGGTTGCTTCTTCCCTTCAATGGATCTCTGGTCCATTGCTTCTTGAGCACATTGTGTTCACTGTACAATTTCAAAGTAGTGTAATATTGCCAAGATATGTTGAGGCATGAAGATGTATCCAGTGTATAATGCCATTCCAACAATGGAAATCAACATGGAATCTGGAGTTGTAATTAAGGAAAACTATTAGGTTGTTTCTCTTAGTACAATCAAGAATTTTAACAATATTTTCATATTCAAAATATGAAAATGTAGAGTCCAGAAAAGTAAACTCAAAAATTTTTTTAAATGAAGAAAGCCATTCTAAACTGCAGTGTTCCATACTGAAGTAATCACAAGTGGCAAAGCATCAAAAACCAAAAGCATGTAACTTGAAGTAAAATTATGACAATGCCTTAGACCATAAACACATCCTCAGTTTATGCTACATTACTTCAAGTCTCAATCTTTTCAATATGTTTTACAAGTACTGCTGTATGGCAGCAAAATCTGAAATACCACTGCCTGCAAAGAACTAAAGATAGACATCGCACTGAGGGCCATGGAGAACCATAAAGTGAATGTGAGCAGACTGCCAAATATAACCAACTAAATCTCCCAAGAAGAGCAAGAGTAAAGGATGTTATCAATAAATATGAAGACAGAAAGAGAAGATGGGCTGGGCAATAATAAGGGGATGGCAAATGGTCAGCCAGGATGACAGCTTCATGATATCAGGAAAAAGCAAGGAGGGCCTTCACTAATATAGGTTGCCCCTCTGTGGCAAACTTTAAGGAGAATATGAGTAAGTAAAAACTTTAAGGAGAACATGAGTAAGTAAAAACCATCGAGTAAAACCCATCCTCATCTGACCTAACCAATAACTATGCATTTTATACTTATTCCCCAAACCTGTCCCTGAGAAAATTAGTTAAATCACACATAATACACAAATACTGTTAACAAAATTATATAATTATTTCTTTCCTGGGTGCTATAATAAGGAGGAAACAGGGGGTACCTAAGGGCCATAATCTAAGGATCATAAATGAGTCTGTAACTGGAAGAGACTCCAGAGGCCATGTAGTCCAAACCTCTTAATTTACAGCAACATATCACTAACAAATATAAAAACCTACAGGTTTTATGAAAAATTTTTGTAGCTCACTTGACTGTGAACATATTCTCAAGAGTAAAAATTACAATTAGAACATATCCTGGAAACTTTAAGAAAAAGCTTATGAGGAAGCTTTATTCAACTACTTAAATTCTCATATGCTTTACTGAAATGCATAAAAAGGGCCTAGGACACACCTGTACAACAGTTACAGGTCATGATGAAAAGCCAGCAATACATTTTGCAGTCACTACAGAATGGCTGCAGTACACATTTTCAAAATGTGATGTTTTTTTCCTATTATAAAAACCCCTTTGCCCTATCTTCATTTCTTGTAAAACTATACACATATTACACAAATAATTTATACCCTCTTCCAGGACTGGAGATAGCATGATAGCATGGTGACTTCTAGTGAAAGATTACAAAACTTGGGGCCATGACCACATTTTATTCAAATAACAGTAATTTATTTAAAAAATAGTTCTTGAAGAACTGTATACTAGTGGAAAGGAACACGCACAGGAGGCAGAAGGTCTTTAAGTATAAAAACTCCCTCCAGGAATGGAGCTTGGCAAGTCATCTGTTAACTTACAGTCTTAGAGTTACTTGGGATACTAACAGATTTGGCAACTTGTCCTAAGTCACATAGTTAGTATGTATTAAAATCAAGAGTTAAAAAGGGGATCTTGAAGCTGAGAGAAGGTGGTAACTTCAACAGAAACAAGAAAATGTAGAAGAGTGGAGGGCCTGGAGGAAAGAAAATAGGCTCCATTTTGGACATGTTGAGTTTGAGATCTCTCCAGGAAATCCAGTTTGAAATATCCAGCAGGGTATTAACTGGTGATGTGGGACTAGAACTTAGGGAAAAACAAAGGCAAGCAAGTATCCATGTGTGCACTCGAGTACACACGCAGACCTCCCCCATCCCCCCCGCCACACACACACACAGAATAACAGTGAAATTAAATGCATAAGAGATCAGGAGGTTACCAAGAGAAAGTATATAAGCAGGATTTTGTTTTTAAACCTTTTTTATTTAAATAGTTATAACAACAGCAGTAACAATAAAAAATAAACAAGTTCACTTCTGCTTCCAGGAGCCAAGATGGAGGAGTAAGAAGTAATTCACTCTTATCCTCCCTTATTAACTTTCTCTGAAAGCCCAGAAAATGTCACCCTAAGAAAAACCCTGGAACAGCTGAACCAGAAGAAAGATAGGATGCAGCAGTCTGTTAGCCCAGGTAGCTTGAGGGATTAATGGGAAAGGCCCCTTCTGCTCTGGGGGAAAGGGAGCAGTACAGAACCGGAGGGGTCCCAGCAAGCTAGTAGAAAGCCCCACCTCAGCATACCAGGAGGAGAAATCCAGGTGGTGGAGCAGGCAAACACCAACACCAGGACCCCCGAGTGACTCAGTGAAGGCAGGGGAACTGGTGGAAACCAGCTTGGAAAACCACCAGTCCCTGGGCATTCTACAGAAACTAAGTCTCCCAGTGCCTCAGCAAAACTCTGGGACGCAAGTTCCAAAGAGCCCCAGGCAGATAAACACCCTACAACATCCACCTGTAAGGAGCTGACAAAAGCCAAAGGAAGGAAAGGCATGGGTGTGCAGGAAATCTCCAAGGGCCACACTACCCAATCCTACCCCTAGAGTTCCAGTGTTGCTGATTCCAGCCCCACACCAGGTAAGTTGCCAGAACCCTACAGCCTCCAACTGCCAGCATTAGAGGCCCTAGCACACAAAGCCAGTAACCAGGCCCTAGGCTCCCAACACAAGAAGCTTGGGTCAGTGACCTCTGCTCCCCAGCAGGAGAGCTCAATCTCTTTAAAGGCCAGGAAATAAGCAAACACCATGAGCAAAAAGAAACACTCAACTGGAATAACAAAAGGTCCAGAATATCAAGAGAACTAATGAAAAGAAATGCAAGGGAAGGTAGCCTAGCTATTCAAGATCCTAAATTGTATTATAAAACAGTAATCATCAAAACTACTTGGTACTGGCTAACAAATAGAATGGTGGATCAGTGGAACAGGTTAAGTATGCAAGACATAGTAGTCAATGACTATAGTAATCTATTATTTGATAAACCCAAAGACCCCAGCTTCTGGGATAAGAACTCACTGTTTGACAAAAACTGGAAAAGATTTTGGCAGAAACTAGGCATAGACCAAAATCTCACACCATATACCAAAATAAAGTCAAAATGGGTTCATGATTTAGACATAAAGGCTGATACTGTAAGCAAACTGGGAGAGCAAAGAATAGTGTACCTATCAGATTTATGGAGAACAGAAGAATTTATGACCAAACAGGACATAGAGAACATTATGAAATGCAAAAAAGTTTTTGCACAAACAAAGCCAATGCAACCAAGATTATAAGGAAAGTAGAAAATTGGGAAAGAATTTTTACAACCAGTCTCTCATTTCTAATAGAGAATTAAGTCAAATTTATAAGAATACAAGTCATTCCCCAATTGATAAATGGTCAAAGGATATGAACAGGCAGTTCTCAGATGAAGAAATTAAAGCCACCTACAGTCATATGAAAAATGATGTAAATCCCTATTGATCAGAGAAATGCAAATCAAAACAACTCTGAGGTACCACATCACACCTATCAGATTGGCCAACATGACAAAACAGGAAAATGATAAATGTTGGAGAAGATGTGGGAAAATTGGAACACTTATGCATTGTTGGTATAATTGTGAAATGATCCAACCATTTTGGAGAGCAATTTGGAACCATGCCCAAAGGGCTATAAAATGTGCATACCCTTTGACCCAGCAACAGCACTTCTGGAGCTGTATCCCAAAGAGATCATACAAATGGGAAAAGACCCCACATGTACAAAAATATTTACAGCAGCTCTTTTTGTGGTGGCAAAGAATTGGAAATTGAGAGGAAGCCCATAAATTGGGGAATGGCTGTTGTGGTATAAGAATGTAATGGAATACTATTGTACTATAAGAAATGATGAGCAGGCAGACTTCAGAAGAATCTGGAAAGACTTGTATGGTCTGATGCTGAGTGAAGTAAGCAGAACCAAGCGAACGTTGTACATGGTAACAGCCACATTGTGCAATGACTATTATTGATAGACTTAACCCTTCTCAGCAATATAAGGATCTAAGACATCTCCAAAAGCCTCATGATGGAAAATGCTATCCACATTCCAAAGAAAGAACTATGGAGTTTGAATGCAGATCGAAGCACAGTATTTGCTATTTTTTTTCTTCTGTTGTGTTTTATTTCCTCTTTCTGGTGGTTCCTCGTGTTGGTTCTAATTCTTACTTACATCATCACTAATGTGAAGATACATTTAATAGGAATATATATATGAATAGCCTCTATCAGATTGTTTGCCATCTTGGGGCAGGTGGGAAGAGAGAGGGAGAAAAATTAAAAACTCAAAAGCTTATGGAAGTGATTGTTGATAAATCAAAATAAATTAATAAAAAGAAAAGAAAAAACAAATAAACAAGTTCACGGACAACAAGTTAAGATCCCCTGGTAAACAGAGAAGAGAGCCTGGGAAAGACTCTCAGGGAATCATCTACAGTTATGGGTCTTGATGATGAATCAATAAGCAAAGGCAGCACAGAAGGAATGGTTAAACAGAATGAAAAATAGGAGAGAAGAGTATCAAAAATCTGCAGAGGCCAGAGAATCCACGAAGAGAGGGATTTTAAACGTTAAACGCAGCAGAAAAACTAAGGATTGACACAGAGAAAAGAGAATCCAATTTGGAAATTAAGAGACTACCTTTGGAAAGAGTTGTTTCAGTTGAAGGACTGAAGCTAGAATGCAAGGGGCTGAGGAGTAGCTGAGAGGAGAAGAAACAGAGAATGAATGAATGGACCTTTTTCTAGGAATTTGGCTAAGAAATGGAATAAAGATATAAGATGATAGCATGAGGGCAGGGTAGGTCTAGAAAAGATTTTTCTATGGTGAGGGAAAGTTGGCCTATTTGAAAGAAGCAGGGGAAGGAACCAGTAGATAGGGAGAGGTGGAAGATTTTTAGGGGAGAGAATGATTGAAGTTATAATCAGTTGAAGAAGA